ACTCGTAAAATACACTGTGGTCCTTTGACGGCTGACCCCCTGGAAGTGTTTATAATTAGTGTTATGGTTTTACCTCTTTGCAATGTGATATACTTTCAGCAACAAAGTTCTCGCATAAGAGATCTTCATCTGTCTATGTCCAAAACTTTCCAAAGCTTACTTTCTAAGCCTTTGGATTAAACATAGAACAGATTTAAAAATCTGCTTCATTCTTTCATCCATGTAGAGAACAGAGATTTTCCTAAAGTAAAAGTGAGATAAAGGCAATTTCTAACAGTAGGCTCATTTTTGTGAGCATTTTAATTTAGTTGAAAATGAGTTTTCTGAAGCTTCCTTCTCATGACAACAGGGCTTTTTTAACCAGCCTTATACAGTAAGCCTAAAGAGAGGACACAAGGCTCTGATATTTCACAGCAGAAAAGATCGGAAAGATTAATTTCCCTTCCCTTTGCCACGGGCATGTACCTTTCAACCCTCTCCGCAGTGATCAGTTTACTGGAACTCAGAGCAATCTGGCAACTGTTCTTCTCGGGCCCTACTGGTGCTACCTGAGAGCCATAATGACTGCCTTGCTCTGCAGTGACCCCCTATGGCCAGTTAACAAGTGGGATATACATTAACTTCAAAGCGGGGGGGTCTTCACCTCTCCTGGGCTTATGACCCCAGTAACAACTCTGAAAGAGATCAAGCTCTTGAAAAGAGGGCGGGACTGCTGGAGGAATCTTTGCCAAAGCACATGAATAGCCAGAGGTGGAATATCTGCTTTGGACCCAATAAAACGCTATCAAGAAAGGGAAGGAAATTAATAAATCCACTTGCAAATCCATTTGTGTACATTTGAAGTGGAGGAAAACTAATACAAGGGAAGCAGAGACAGAATGTCTGTGATAGAAATAAAACCACTTTACTGTTTAGAATAAAAGGACACTATAAAAAGTGAACATTATGCAACATTACCTTAAAAGACAATATACATTCACTGAATATAAAATTTATAAATAACATGGAGGAAACCTGTAAACAGTGCTAGAAAATTTAGCAACAAATACATTCCTTCTGGACAAGATTTTTCACACGGGTTTGGTTCCCTCCCCAAGTTTCCATGACTATCAGGAACAGCAGAGTGGCTCTGTGAAGGAAGGACAGTGTCAGAAAGAAGGAGAAGCCAGTACAGGCAAAGCAGCAGCAAATGTTTAGTGGATTTTTAAGACTTTTCTCAAGACTGGTAGCCCCAAAAGCCACTTACTCTAAAAAAAGAAAAAATTTTTGCAGTTCCCTAAATTTTGTTCTGCCCTTCTAAACTATAAAATATAAGTGAGATATACGTTCAGGGACATCTAAAAGAATGGAAACTTGTTCACATGGAGGCCTTTACTTCAGTCTTTACTGTAAAAGATGCAACAGTATGTTTCCCATCATGGTGAGGTAGCATTTCACTCCATCCAAGTATGAATGGGATACAGTGATGTATTTAGGTTTTAGAATAGTCCTACCTAAAGGGCCATGCAACTCTTCAAAACATGGGAAATTTACACCTAAAATGGCAGATTTGTCCCACACAGAAGAGGGGGAAGCCTCCCACAAGAGGACTTTATTCAAGGTACTCCGTGCACAGATCTCCTCCTGCTCTCTACCCCCTCAATTTTCAGAAAGGAAAATCAAATCCAATCTTTCCCAAACCTTCAATATATTTTTCATAATTTTTGTAATTCTAAAGGGTAAAACACTCTCAAGCAAATGAGGAAATATACCTATAAGAAAGAAAGTGAACAGCAACAGTCTAGAAACGAGCTCTGCATTTTAAAAAGTACTTTTAATAAAGTTGGTATATCTAAAGCATAGGGGAGGAGGGAGGGAAGCCCTCATCCTGTACATGTCCAAAGGTCATGCTCACATCAGCTGTGCCACTGACAGTTCCTCTGACCTTAGGTTATGGGGTGAAGCAAGGAGCATGTCAGAGATGACGGGAAGATATTTGCGCTGCTGCAAGCCATTCCATGCTCCATAGCCTAACGTTTTGGGGACAACTTCACACCTGCCTCCTCACATCTCCATGCCTGGTGTTCCCACATATCGCATGGCCTGCTGTAATGAAGGAGAGGGTTTTGTCCATTGGCAGGCAGAAGTGACTTAGCAAGACAGAAGAAAGGAGAGCAGATAGAAAGGAAGAAGTCTTTGAGTCTGACTTAGAGCCTGTTCAATCCATTTAATGGCTGGCTCCCACTTCAAGGGAGCCTTAAGTCAGGTTCTTAATGCAAGCACAAGCTAAAGTTTAGCCCAAGAAATACATGTCCCTGACAGCATGCACAGAAACAAAATTAAGAAGCCTCCCAAAAGAAATGTATTTTTACTGGATTCTTCCCCCTCCTTTTGGGTCCACATTTTTAAAAGCCTTAACAACTGTTTCTTTACACAGCAAGGGGAAAGATTTGCTACCAAATCCCCATCCTTGCCGGTCTAGCTGTCTGCATCTCAGAAATATTTTACCATCTGCAATATAAAATGGGAATATGCTTCATTTTCTGGTAATGCATCTGCTGTTTTGTTGTTTACAAAGCACATAGCTACATTATATCCTACTTAGGGACACAAGTCCTCATAGTATTAGAATGCAAATATTTTCACAATAATTTGAGTGCAATACTGTGATGTCTCAGCTAGCTAAATGAATCAGTGACAGGTAAAATATGCAGAGCTGCAGTTTAATGAAAATTCAAATTAACACTTCACTGCATCAAGGGGCATTCTCATTTAGCCTTTCAAAGTCATGAAAAGTGGCTGCAGCTCAAAGAGACGTCAGCTTTGTGAAGTCACCTTGAGCTTGAGGAGGGCCATCTCCAGCAATGCGGACTTCACACGATGCAAACAGTGAGGGTGGCGAGGCCGGCTCCGCTCTGCCCTCAGTGACCCTCAAGAAATTTTGTCAGCTGTGCACAGCTCGAAGAGAGCTTGCTCCACTGTGCCAAAAGCCCAACCTCGTACTCTGCCAAAAGGGGCAACATTTTGATCCACCACCTGATCCTATGATGGGTGCTGTGAAGCACCCTACTCTCCCTCTCATCTCCAACCCATCGTTTAGGAGTAGTCACAGGGAAGAGGACTTCTGAAAAGCGTTCCAAGCCTGAATCACAGGAAAATCCAACAGATTTTCAATGTGTTTTGTGCCGTGTTGCCACTCAAAGCAGCTGAAAAAAAACTACACAGCAGACCTAGGCACCTCTTACATCAACTCTTTGAAAATGCCCTTTAAAGTTCATGTTAAAAAGGAAGCTACGTGCTTTTTGCTGCAACAATTCATCTAGTAAATGGGGCATTTCAGGGGATGTACGTCTAGGCAGAGCTCTGGTAGCACGCAAGGAACGTAAAAACGGATCAGGGCCCATCTCAGGCACCTTTTCCCTTCCATTTGGCAAAGAAGTCCCAAACAACTCTCCAATAACTGAGGTCACTGACTGTAAAATGCTGTATTGCCCCAAGCTGGAATTAACTGCAACACTTTTTCCTGCAAAAAAAGCTCTGCTTTCTAAGTGGAATGAACTGAAGATATATGGAAACTTAAGATAAATAATCATAATAATACAAAAATGAAGTTAAGCATAATCTTCTCCCTGCCCAAGCCCTCCCCATCCAAAACTCAGTCACCCATTTTGTCAGCACCCCTTCTTCACCATCATTAAAACTTAAAATACTTTTATTTGATAAGAAAAATTATATTATAGTTTTCTTAATAAAAAACAAAATCAAAAAACGAAAAAACTTCTCCAGTCAACAGCAAAGCACAAGACAGTAAGGCTCCTCCTCCCACATCACTGCAGGACCTAGTATGAGCACATGCACCGAGCTATGCTTAACAATGCCTAGAGGGAAACACAGCACTTGACACAGAAGGAATCCTCTGGGCAGCTGAAATTTTATGATTCCAGCCAGCACTTATTAGGAGACCACTTTTCCTTGCCTAGCCCCCACACACACTTCCTTTCACTATATAAACAAATGCAGCTAGTGTAGCTGCAGGGCAGGAACCATGATGCAAGGACGTACAGAGGAAACAAATGACTGTAGCCACTACTGCAGATACACTGGAACTTCAGTATCTTAAAAACAACTCACTGACTCGGAATGTCAATATTTCTCTCTTTAAAACACAAACAAACCATTCTTTTGTTTATAACACCAAAAAAAATTCCACTTCCTGTTAAAAATAGCTTATGTCATTATGTGTATATACATCCTAGTTCAGCAAAACACTATTTTGGCAATAGATTTTTTTTTTTTTTTAATAGTAAGAGCTCTAGCAAGTCTCCCCTTTCCCTCTTCCATGTGATTGATTTACAGTTGGTATTTGTACATCTGTCTGGTTTAAGGTGTTCACAAGCCAGTTTTGCTGTTGAAGCTAAGCTGCAAAAATTTCAGGAGCCAATGCTGTTCAAAACAGGATGGCACAGCACTTCATCTGCTCTGCTGTAGGTGGATTTACCTCCCTGAACATAGGGGATGGGGCTTTTGTTTTTTAAACAACAACTAAAATACAAAATACTCTCTCCTTTGTTCTGGGGAAAGCCAGAACTCCAAATGTGCTGTTGCATTCACACTGTGACTGAATTAGCTAGGACAATCAGTCAACCAGATGACTTTTACCAGATGATGTGGTCAGACATACCGGGTGAATTCTCCCACTGCTGGATTCAATCACATTGCCAATCTCTCCCATAGAGGAGGATTTCTTTCGGATGTCATTTTTTCCAGAGTTTAGGCTGGGTTTCTTTTCAGTTTGTTTCATCTGCCAATCTGATTAATGAAACCTGTTTTCCTTCAAATAGATTTGTCTATGTATTTTCAGCACTTAGTGCATGAGGAGGGGTGACAGGAAGCCAGCGCATAGAAGAATACAGTGCCTAACTGGCATAGTTTTTAGATTTTTGTTTTCCTAAAAAAATAGAGATTATATTGCTACAGCTAATGATACAACATGTAAGAGAGCGAGAGCTCCATTTTTTATTTTTTTTTTCTCTCTCCCATTTTTCCCTCTGGTGTGCAAAAGTAAGATCCCAAATGTCGTCTGATCAAAATGAGTGGTATCAAAAAATGGAAAAGGTGATTACAAATTCAGTAAGGTAGCACAGACTTTTTTTCTTTCCTTTTTTTTTTCCTTTTCTTTTTTAAGTGTTCGAAGTGCTAAGATTTGCATGAAAACAGGCACTAATTTCATTGTCGTCATCATGATCTGGTAAGAGTTAGTGTCCAAAGGAAGATCAGCCACAAGTAAGGGAGAGGGGAGATAAGGAAGGGATAGCGTGCTCAGGGATCTGTGGCATTGATTATCGTTTTATCTGGAGGCGCCCATCCTCTATACCAGCTGCAGTAACCTTCCACCCTCTGGATGCAGGCATAGTGTTTCGCTTGGTATCCTGAGTGGCCGAAGTTGTAGAGCATGTCTGTCCAAATACACTCATTCTTGGAGGTGGCAAAGCAGGGCAAATAGTAGCAGGGTCTAATCTGCAATTGTAAAGAGCAATCAGGTAAGACTACATGGAAAAACAACATTATATAAAATGCTTTTTTACCAGAGACAAGGGTTTAAAAATTCCACTCCCTCAAACCTTGCTTACCGACCCAAATTTCAGCCTCAGTTCAGGATGCATGTAAACATGTGCTTACTTTCACATACACAGGTAATTCCAGAGTCAAAAGGGCTTTTCAGAGGCAGAAAAGTTGAGCTTGTGCCTATGTTTTTGCAGGCCTGGGGCCATGAGCAAAATTCTTAGTCCCAGTGCCAGGCTGTGAGGTTTTAAGCACTCAAAATGTTTACACAGGAAAAAAGCTGGACATACCTTGCCAAGCCTCTGGTACCTGGTTTCATTCACCTCCACATGATTCTGCATGGATTCTGAAAGCCTTCCCCAACCCCAATTAACTCCAACAGGGCATTAAAAAGGCATAGACTCTGAATTTTTATTTGATTGTCTCTTCTCTGGTCTCAACGCTAAAGCTGAGCTTTATTTTTTCCATCTAAAAATTGTTGTCCTCCATTTCTCTTCCTGGCTGTTCACCAGCATCAGTATTACTAGCCAGTGGAAACAGAATTCTAGGGTTTGAATGTCTGAATGCCACCTAATTAGAGATGCACATACCTTGCATCCACAGCCCAGATGATAACGATGATTCAGTCCTTTACGCTGGGAGAGAGTCAGCCGGTCCCATTTCTCATACCAGTTGCACAGGCCAGTGTAAACCTTCCCTTCATACACACGGCCTTGAAAACAGAGACATAGTCACAAGTTAGCACTTCTCAGCTCAAGCACTTTTCTGTTTCCTGAGATTGCTAATGCTCTCAATATGTTTGGCTTCGGTCACTGCTCAGCAACTGCTTTCTTTTTATTGACTGGTTCAGGAATCTCTGGCCAGCAAGATTACAGCACTTCTGTAAGTTAGGAGTGTTGTGCCAGCTGCAAGCACCACCAACAACATGCAGGTGAGTAATGCTGTCAAGCTCCTCCCAACAACAGAGCAAAGTGAATTCACAACTTCACTAGAAACAAGATTTGGCAACTGCCGCATCTCTATCTCCTTGCATCCCCCCATCTCAGCAGCCTGCATTTCTCCAGCTCATTTCAAAAGGGATCTTCCATTTCTGGCACCGCCAAGTAGTAACCAGTTCCCTGTGACAGACATGCAAGTCAGGTATGAATTGACAGTTGTGGACTGTCATACAGCATATTTGTCACAACATTGCTGAGTATAAGAGATACTTTAGGAAAAAGAAGGAAATCTAGAGAGTTCTCAGCATTAAAGAGTACTGAACACCAAAATACTGTTGGCCATCTTAACACTTGGGAAGCTGCGCATAGAGCTGTCTACAGAGCTGCCCATGTCTGTCACAGGTGTATGTACAGAACAGAAGAGGTTTTGATTATGAAGTACACTGTCCTTTACCTGTAATCAGATATTGGTACTTGTTGACCTCCAACTTGACACCACAAAGACTCTCAGAGGCTTCTGTGTAGATGTACTGAACTTGTGGCATTATCTGGAAGCCCCTGTACATCTAGAGAAAGAATAAAAATGTTTTAAGTCACATTCCTGAACTGTGGTGGCAAGCAGTGAACTTTTAGTGTTTACAAGGGTGAAGGACTAATGGCACTACCTGGACTCTGATGGAAGTCTCCCCACCAGATCTGGTGGTAAAGCGGAATACCCATCTGCTAACAAGCCATTGCAATTCTGCACAGGGACCACTTTTCCCCACTCACATTAGTTCCAGTGGCACTGAGTGAGCAAAGCGCCAACATTGCAAGCTCTGCCAACATCCTGAACAATTTTTTCCCTTATATAGCTCATAATTAGGGAGAAATTAAATTAGTTCAAGTTTGGAAACTTTCTCCTTCATGTGATTTAAACAATTTCTTCCTAACTAAGGGATTTTTCTTTTAAACAATGACCCTATTTTCCAGTGTTGCTGCTGTGAGAGTTTCAAAACTTTGGTGCTTGATCCAAGTCATCAAGCCAGACACCTCCTTCTCAAACTCCTAGCATATGCAACCCCTGCTGACCTCAGCAAACATTTAACGTTTCTTTAAACTAAATGAATGCAGAAATAGAATTCTACCCCATCTCCTAAAATTAGCCCAGTACTGATGGGTGCCATAAAGAAAATAGCATGTATACATAATTCCTCTACACTCCTCCTCCTTTTTCATAATCTTTCTTACGGTTCAGTTTAATTGAAATATGAACCCACACATATACTGGCAGTTGAATTCAGTCAGAAATTAGCATGTGTCCCTATCTGACCTGACCTTGCCGCTGCCATTTAGGGAGACTCATGCCCATAGGTTAGTAGCATAATCAAGTCTGTGCATAGCAATGAAACAATCACTGCATGTGTACATTGGACCAAATAAAACATATCCTACTTTTGAAATATTGAGGATGATTTTTCCTGAAAATTTAATCTTTAAAACCTGGTCGTCTTTTCAAAGTATTCAGTCTCTCTTCGCCCCCCACCCTCCCACACCCCCCAAAAAAAAACGGCCAATGTTTAAAAGTTAAAGGAAAACTGTAAGAGTCAGAAAGAATCATCATTTCATAGCATTTCCCAGCCTATCCTTTCCTCTGTCAGATTTGTTGATAGAAAGCACATTCATGTTCAGTTTAACTGTAAATATTAAAGTCAGGCAAAAGAGGGGAAAAAAAACAAACCCAAACAATCCCAGAGCTATAGATCTGTGCTGCTGTGTCACCTAAGCTGCAGTATTCTCCTCCAGGCTGTATTCTATTTGTTGAAGTCCCACATTATCCCAGGGTATTTCACTATTCCCCCACCTCCTTTAAAAACAACAAACCTTCTTTCTGAAACAATGTCTGCTGATTTTACTACCCAGATACTGCATATAAAAAACTACTACTAATTCTGCTGTGCTGACAGGTCAAACTATCTCTGGGGCATCGACACAATGTCTGCCAGGTTTTTTTTTCTCCTTAGTTATATTACCCCAATCAGCATAATCTTGTAACAGTATCACAACTCAGTGACAGCACTGCTGTGTACTGTAAAAGACATGCTAAAGGATTTGCATTTTCCAGCCTTCCTTCTACACCCAGCAAACATGCAAGGAAAGCATTTTTTTTAAATTAATCATACTGTATCAACAAAAGCTCACAGATCATCTTTGGAATACACCATTGTGTCCATAAGTTAGCAAAGTCTTTCCGTGAATATGGAAGAACTGAACCGTGCCTAATCTCTACTTTACCCCTGCAATCTTCTTGGTATGGGACGATCTATTCAGATTTTCCAATTATGCTCAAGATAGCTAGAGATCTAGGTTCTGGCACAAGCATCCTGTCTGTCCTTGGATGAGTTATTAGGCTCTCAGCACACTTTTGTTCCTCATCTAGAGCACAGCTCTGCCTTACTTCCCAAGAGTACCTTGAGGAAAGACACACAGAATAAAGACCATGTGTTCAGACCCTATTCCAGTGGGTGTCACACCAAGAAGCTATGATAACAGTATCTAAGTCGGTAAGACTAGCTGAGGTAACAGCTGGGGCTGCCCAGTCGCTGCAGGCAGCGCATTATCTACACTGCAGAGAGTTGTATGCTGTGCATGTGCTGTACAAGTGATCTGTCACTCAGAGTAGTGCTGGGCTAATCAAATATCTGTGCTACAAAGCCTACACGAGCATAGGCACACTTTCAGCCCATTCTTCCCCTTGCAGAAAGGGCTACAAGCTGCTCAGGCCCTTCCTACAGGACTCTTACAGTCGTCACTCTGCATCTTCTGCACCATCAAGCTCAACATGACTGCCTATGAAGTAATCAGTGATGCTGAACTGGTGTTTGGTTTTCAACTCCTGGACCTTATTTCCTGTTCACATTGCCATCAGGGTTGCTGAAGGAAGCATGCTCAGCCTCTCAAAAAGCACTTCAGCTCACCCCTCAGTGACCCTCATCGATGCCAGCAACTGTTACGCTAATTGACCCAGTACTGGGGGCAGACAGGGCCTGCCTCATTCTCTGATGACTAAAGAAAACTCACCATGACCTTGCTTCTCAGGGGAGGAAAAAGAAAATTTGGCAAAGGGGAATCTTCTACCAATGCCCTCTTTCAAAACAAATAAAACAATACCTTAAGCATTATTTTTGGATATACAAAATATCCTGGAAGTGCCATTAGACCGGACAGAGAAAAATCTACCATAAAGCTACCCTCTCTCATAACTGCTACCCTCGGAGTCCTGTCGCCACAAATGTGTATTTTCAGAAGCGTAATGACAGGGAACAAAGTATTAGCAAGCGTCACATGGTGGTGTCTGCTAGTGCTGCTCTATTTCCAGCTGTGTCAGCATTCCTCTTAGCAGCCCCCATACTGCCTCAGAAATGCACGTGCAAATCCTGCGGTCGTTCTTGCTGCATGATTAACATCGCCCTGCGATGTGATGTTCCTCCCTCTATGCCTCCCATGTGAGGTCGCACTAGATACCAAGGCTTGGAGTCATCCTCCCTAACCTTCAGCGACCTCAAATTCAGACACTTCATATGAATTAGGCATTCTCTCTAGTCAAATGTCATCAACAGGCACCTCCAGAACAACTCAGCCCATCCTAAAATAGTTGTCTACAACTGGTGGGCTGAATTACTCTTTGGTGGTTCCTGTCTCTCTCCACAGACAATCAAGAGAGCAAGAAAGATTCAACACCTCATTTTAGTCTGTCTAAAATTAAACTAAATTAATCCCACCGCATGTCTTTCCTCTTGGGACTATCACGTTTCACCCCTTAGACTCATTTTCAGATTAGCAACAAACCAAGGAAAGCCTCCTTGCTTCTGGCAGCCTGTGCCGAGTGCTGCCATGGTCAACCAGGACTGTTTGAGCACATGGAGTAGAATTATCTTATCTGCTTGTTTCCTTTGCGGTTTCCTGAAATAGATTTGGGCCATTCTCAGAATGCACTGCAGCATCACAGAACACGCAGGGGTTAGGTCAGTCCTGTACAGATTTCTGACACATGATCTTGAAATATTCTTAAATTATTTGAGAAAGCAGTGGATTGCTTTGAGAAAGGCAGAGGTCGCTTGAAAAAGCACAAGGCCTTTTCAGACAACCAACCTGAATGCTAGAAAGCCTGGCATTGTTCTGTGCCTGTGGGCTGACCTTGTGCTCCAGTCCAGGCCCCAAGCTGGTTTAGTTGTGAAATTCAGCAACAAGTTCAGGAGTGTTAGTGAGAGCAAGAATCAGCCACAGCAAACTCCAAGGAACCCATGAAAGAAAAACAAAGATTGTTTGTTGCCTTTTAAGGCTCTCAACGCTTTTCACAGGCAATTCAGTACACACTGATAGACTAAATGGCTTGTTTATTTTTCATCTGCAGGTGCAGAAGGGTTTATAGGTGGCCAAAAACCACTGACATGTTAGTTTTATCTTCAGAGTTGTTCCCATGCAGCTGTGCAGAGCCATACGCCTCTTTAGTTTTCTTTTCAAAAAACAGTCAGGTTTCATTGGGGGGAGCAAGGGAGAGATTTGCTGCGTCACTCTGAGCTCCCTCACTGTATGGAGCTGAATCCCTCTTTATGCTGAAGTCTCTAAGCTCAGCAGAAAGACAGCAGGGTTTCAAAGATGACACTTGGTTTGTTTGTTTATCAAGAACTATGTCCTCCGGACATTCCAGTTCTACTGAGCACTTTGACTGCTTCAGGTTCCTTCCCAACAGAGGTCACAGTTAAATGTGCAATGCAAGACTTCACCAGCCCACCATCTATGTAGCAGGCATAGAGGCAGTCTGACCAACACATGATTTCCCCTTTAAAATTACTCTTGCTTTTGCTGGACACGTAGCTTCCTAATAAACCACTGTGGAACTGCTCCTGCAAAAAAGCAATTGTTCTCTTGTGGTCTCGGCACAAGGACACTGCAGATTACTGCAGTATCTGTTGTAAACACCCTGGTCCTGTGCTGCAGAATAATGCAATGAAAACAGCCAGGAAAGGCTCAGGCATCTTACAATGGCGTCCATTGACAGTAGGGTGGCTGCTGCTCCACTCAACACGCTCACCTTGCTTGGGCTTATGCTCCTGCCCATGCCAGTAGCCACATAGAAGCCTTTTCTATTCCTAGCAGGGACACTGCTGCAGGCTCCTAGGCCAGAGGAGGAAAGCTTACTGCCATTCCAGAGATCTCTGATACTGCAGTTCACTGTCTGACAATGGGGCAGGCTGCACCATTAGTTACAAGAGAGGCTAACGTTACAGTTGGTAAAGGGCAGTAGTTAATCTGGGGGACTATTGCTATTCTAGATCACCACCAGACCCTGTTCATGGTCATATGTTAGACGGGAAGCATCAAACTCTTGGAACTGAGTAGGAGCAAAAGTAGGGTCCTAGATAGAGCAGGATGAAGTCAGAAGAAGAAAAGTTGATACAGCCACTGCAGCATATGTACGTTGAGTAGTTTTGTGAAGTGGGGTACACTTGCTGAGCTGGAGACTGACAAAACTGGACAGGATCAGCACAGAGCCTGATGAGGCCAGGGACAGTCATATTAAAAAAAAAAAAAAGAGTGGCAGTATTGTCTCACTGTTGCCAACATAACCAGTTGCCTTTTTTTTACAAGAACAAGTTAATCAACAAATATGTATTTCCTTTTTTGTCTTAAAAAGGAATTTTTAAGATTTCTTAAATATATATTTTTAAGATTAAGGAAAATAGTAAACCCAGTACCTCATGCACTCTTATTCAAACTGCAAGCATTCCACTCTAGTGGAAGAGCCACGCTAGAACCAGATTTGGCTACGTGTGCGGTTTTGCGACAGCTTATGAAACAGGCTTTGCGTCTCCTCCTCTCAGCTTTCGTGCTTAGCTATAAACCGCCTTATAAAGAGAGTTACTGTTATAAGGCAGGCAAGTGACTGTTTTTTTCTGAACCTTTACTTTGTGTAATATGTTTCAGATTTCTGCAGTCTCTGCCAAGCTTTTCCATTCCCTTTTTTTTTTTTTAAAAGACATAAATCAGTCTTATGACTAGAATGGCATAGCCAAGAAAAACAATCTAGGGCTGATTTTTCACATTACATAACAACGGGTCAGTTTAAGAACAAAAAAATAAAAAAATCTAAGTCCAAAGCAGCAGATTGAATGCAGTTTGTGTAGCAAAGAATTAGAGCTCTGAAGAGAGGAACTAGAGAAACCAAGCAACTGGTGCAGGAGATCTACTACTTTTCATCTCCGAGTCAATACTTTACAGCTCTTCTGAGCTGATGATATTTGAAAGCTACAGGGTTTGGTTTAGCTTATATAAAGACTTCACTATACAAGTTTCATTTGTTCCATACCTGGAAAAACATGTCATCATTTTAACTGGTGGTCACAGAGAATGCAAGGAAAGAAGAGATGAAAGACCACTCTCCTAAGGCTGGCAGACCCCCTATCACCACCACATCTTTAATCTAATTAAAGTGCTGCATGGAAAAGCTTGCAGTTCCGCAGTCTAACACTGTGTATGTTGAACATAGACAGGATTCCAGTACCTAGAGAAGGCCATCTGGCATCTTTTACTACCAGAAATTTTAAAAATAAAGGAAGAATTCAGGTATTCAGCATTGTATGTCAGGAATAATCTCTTCCTGCTCCTTTCCCCTCTCCAGGCAAATTTCTACCAATTGGTGGTTACCTTCCATTCTGGTTGACCAACATGAAAAATTGAGGTGCTGCTATTTTAAGTAGGCAAACTCTGTTTGTTTTTACATGTTAACTAGAACCATTATCGTACAAGCCTATGTGAAATGTCTGCAAACATACCTTCATCTGCTTGACTGTGTATCGCATCGTTCCAAATGGTCCATCTTTCATAAGCTTCTTTCCCACAACTTTAGCTCGGATCACTGTCATAAGAGAAGAAAAATACAACAAATTATAAACAACTTTATATAACATTTAGGTTAGAACCTCCACTTCAAAAAAGCCACTTAGATAAATCAGTCTGTAAGATAAAACAAAACTCCAGGCCAACCTTCCTCTGAATTTAATCTAAATCTCACATACAACAAAGGGATGTAAAATGGGATACCAAAGCAAGTATTTATTTAGAGGGAATCCAGTTCTCTGTGAAGAATTAGAATCAGCATTATTTATGCTGAAATCTTACTGAAATATGCAAAGCAGACTACAGCTGGGACCAAGACAGGTTAAAAAGTTTGCACCAAGCCGCTGGGATGAATTGCGTATTTAATGTCTTAACATATAGAATGATGTTCAACAAGATACTACTTTTAAATTGCTCTCCGGGTGCCCAGTGCAGCTTCTGTTTCCCAATAACCACAATACAGTACAGCACACCGGAATATCCCATATCTGGGGATTTCACTACAGCTGCCACCTTTCAGATACCACAAAACTCCCAACAAATGGCTCCCTTGAACAAATGGCTATTGTGCAAAAACAGATTGTTCAGCAACCATCAAGTCCACAGTGAAAGCTGCCAGGTCAGTCAGAAGCCACCTGGAAGACAAACTAAAGCTCATCCATTAGACCTTACGTAAGCTGCACTTCATTTCTTCATGGATGATAAGGGGCAGTGTGCGTGCATGCATGCACATAGCATCCAGCCCAACACAGATACCTCCATTATACCACAGATGCATCACAGCAATGCCAACCGAGCCCAAGCCATCATAGATAAGAATTTTGAGGTCCGTCAGATGGATCTAGTGGGTAGTTTACAGTCAGCGCTTAATGAAGTTTTCCTGTTCATCTATTTTTGGGGCATTCCACAAAAAACACCCTACTATTCCATCAATCTCCTTTGAAAAAGCTTTGCAATCACATGCTCATCTCCGTAGAGGAGCAAAGCTTAGCGACAAGGCAGGCATTACTCAGCTAAAGCTCACTCCCCTAGAACAACCATGTCATACTACACAAGCACCAGGAGTGTCTTAATTTTTACAAGGGCTGCAGAAAATGAGATTGGGGAAGACCAATCCTTCGAAGAGTAAGGATCACTATTAGAAAACCCTGTACCCCAAATGCCACTCATACAAACAACAGTACAAAAAAATAAAACAAGGAACTCAAATTCCATCAAGCAAGAGAAACATCAAAACTACAATATATTATTCATTAAGCTTCTCATTACAAGGGCTATGCACATTATTCCAGTAGAATAATCCAAATAATGCAACATACTCATAACATGACTGACAATGTACAATTATACACAAATCTCCTAGAAAACCCTTTTTTGTGGAAGAGGAGATATCAGCTACTTTTGCATAAAGCTTGTATCAGTAAACCATTGCAAACAACACACCTCTGCTGAATATATGGCCCAATGGTTCCAGACTACTGAAATCCAGCAACTAAAATGGACCACATACATTTCCTCTGAGCCTATGAAGGTCCTGATCGTAACTCCCTGCACAAGACATAGGTACTGCTTTCACAGTACCCAGCGAGTTATTATTTGCATTACAGCACTATCTAAAAGCAGCAACAAAGTTCAGGGATCCATTTTGCTAGGTATAGATGACATTAAACAAGCACCTTGTTGCTTCTTAGCTCATTTAGGTTTCAAATAGCTGTAGAAGCCCACTGGAAGAAATGGGAAAGAACAGGAGGTTAACTTTGTATTCACTACCTAGACCAAATTAATGATGTAAAAACCTTGTCCCAGCTTTCTGAATAATTTGAAGAATAGACTGAAAGGAAGAGATAGGTCTGGTTATACACACCAGTTCCTGGAACTTGTTCCATGAAGATGGTGTGAAATGAAGACAAACTCAGTCTGCTCTGATTTATATCCTGTGCTTCAGCCAGACTTGTCAAATAAATTTTAAACTAGGTAAGACAGTCCTGCTGGCTTTGATTCAAAGGACCAACAAAACCTTCATTCATTGAGTGTAAAACTTCATTTTTTTTTTTTTTTTCAAACTTCTATTATCCAATGGCAGTAAAAGCCAGTACAATTTTATTGATTCTTCTATTTAACAAGTTGTTCAGACTTCAATTTACTCTCTTCAAAATTTAGTAGCTATACTGAAACATGTCCTTGAGGGCTGCAAATATCTTTAAATAACTAGCTTCTTCCATTTGTTGCCTCCAATCCACGACAACCACCAGTGAAGCTACAAAAACCAGACTGCCTAAGGGTCAATGAGAAAGAACACAATTTCTTTAAGGCTTTGTGAATTCCAGAGCACTTCACTAATGTTGGAGTCTATAGCAAAGGGTGTCAAAATCTTCTCTTCATCTATCGTATACCTGATACACTGAAATTGAAAAACCTGGTGTTTGCTCAACGCTTCTGAAATCAACAACGAAATATCTTAGTGACAGTGATAAGAAATACACTAAAAGGTAATATTGCAAAATGCTAGAGTTTCCAAACCAGAACACGGGTTAGCATAAAATATAACAGGCACATTCCCAATTGCTGACAAAAATATCTAAAACCCCATTTTCTTCATGTACTTTACTGCTAGCTTGACAGCCCTTTAACTTCTAGTTAGAGTAGCACAGCCACTTCAGAAAGAAACCAACTTTGATTTATGGACTAATCAAGAGCTTCACCACAACACCAAAGATTCAAATGCACATCTACACTAGCACGTAACAATTTCAACTAATGCCACCCTTGCAAATAGGTGGAAGGATCTGTATTTTCATGTTATTGTTTCCCAGTAAAGTTAAGAGAAGAACAACTGCCCTAGCAAATTCACCTACTAAAAACCGTGACAAGCCTTAGTGTAGGCCATCACTTCAAGTCTTTTGTAAATGGATCAAGCCCTCTCATATCTCAGAGAAGTTGCCTTTATCACCCAAACAGTAACTTTTCCAGGTAAGTTCCTTCCTTTACCAAAAAGGTTAGGAATGAACAAAGAACCTACCCTGCCTCATTTTTCCCACATTAAAGGAAAAGTCAAGCTGCTAGCCAAGGAGCAGAAGATACTTCAACTTAAGTCTACCCCCTGTATTTTGTGAGGCTAAAGACCCACCCCCTGAGCATTAGATGCATCTGGGTAACTGGAGAGAAATGCTGGATGGACAGGACTGCTCAGAGGTTGCTCTTGCATGTCCAACTTCATCACCTTAAGCCTCCACATGTGAGAGCCACTTGTAAATCTGCCCAGAACAGAGCTTCAAGTTGCAGATCTGCAGTCATGTGTTTGCCAGTTCCTATCTTTGCTCCTTCAAACCACCGCTCATGAGTTATACTGCTGGACCACTCTTCACACCTGGTCAGAAGATAAAGAACATTTTTTCCTAACTGAGCGGGGGCCATGCATACTTGCCAGAGGAATTTTTCACTCTCTGCAAATTATCAGAAGTTTACAGTATTTCTGCTGCAAATTCAGTCCGTGTTATGTTAATGAAGTCAACTGTTTACTTCTGGGGTCTCCTACTGCTTGAGCAGAATGAGGCAAAAGGTGCTGACTGCTCGCCTGAACTCTTTCCTTCTCCCTGAAGCTCTATTACAGTCCTGCTATTACTGATGGGAAACTTTATCCCACACAAGTGGTCACCAAAATAGCTGCATATTTTTAAACCACAATTCCTTTGAAGTACTGCCTATGAAAATACTCCAAGATGAATGTTTCTCAGTACTTTGGGGTTTCAGGTCAGGTCATTTTGTGGGACTGGAGTAGTTGGCAAGGTCTCATGAGTGATTTGTAATTATTTATGAAAAGTTAACTTAGATGAGGATATAAATCTTGATAAGATAAGCATAGCAGCCATTCCATGATTCAAAGAGGAGAAAACATAAGCGCTGCTTCTCAACATTTGACATGATTTAAAAAATGACGGAGAGAACAGAGAGAAAGAAAACCGGATATTTAGTTGATATTCTAAAAAAAAAAATAAAAAATTATTAGTAACAACCTGTTCTGACTGAGTAGTCAAGAAATACATCTAACAATGTATCACAAATTATTAATGTATTCCTCTCTTTTCCTTTCCCTTTTTTTTTAAAATGTAAAGTAGCTTAGCAATTAGGAAAACAGAGATGGCTCAGATTTGCCACAGGACTAGTATAGCGCAAGTAGCTAGTGGTTTGTATTTCATTGGCATCTCTAGCATGGTACAAACTGTCTGCATGTGCATGTATACACACAAAAAAAAAATCACTTGCATCTTTTCCAGATTTCACTGGATGAAGTCTTATAAAGGCAAACAAATCAGAATGGGCGTAGGAGAAAAAGGCCCTATACGCACTTTTATTTGCCCAAATGCACACGTATCTAATTCAAGTACTCTTTATTTCTTACTCTGGTGCCATTTTCTCAAGGATTCATAGGAATAATAGGCCTAAAGGTAAGATATGAAGCAGAAGAGGACATTGGTTTTACAGCTGAGATAGCAGAAGGCATTCTTTTCACAAGGCAAGGACTAGACAAACAGGCAACAACTGATGTAAGGGAAGCAGACACGTGAGATTAAGACAAGCATTTGCCAAGCTGAGGAAAAAAGATGGTGAAAAGACCTGTAATTACAAAGTCATTCCATCCAGGCACACACTAGCTACTATATGTGCAGTAGCTCTTTTTCCCAACAGAAAAGCAAAGGCATCAAGTGTCTTAGTTCAATGCAGGTTGTGTCCTTTATCGGGGCCAGCCACTAGATGGTGGTGACACCATCACAAATCTCACCTCCCATTAATGAGAGGGCAGTGCTACATGCAGATGCTAACACCACAAATCCCAGTTGCGTGCCCAACTGGACCATGAGAAACAGATGCTTTCATGTAAGTGGGCTGGTTGTCATCCATATACAGTATTTTAAGTGGAGGCATACACCCTTTAGAGACCGGGATTCGCTCCAAACCCATTTCCCTTGTGACCAATTATCATGAACGGCTCAGGAGAGTAACAAATGTTACACTTCTCATTATTGTT